TGTTCAAATCTGGCAAGGAAGAATTTCCTCCAATGGAGGCTCAGCCCGCACTGCTGTGATTTATGGGGCTTGGCACAGCCACGGCTACATCCACACACACATGCACACGTCTCATCCCCAGCTTTACCAGCCCTGCTACCCCATAACTTTTGGTCTGGGAATATTATTTTGGTGTCTGGAAAGCCCGGCTTCTTGTGGGATCGCTGAGCCCACCATGGCTGTTTTCTGCTCCACAGCATCCCCAAAAAAACTCTGCTCACCTCCTCCATCATTCCTCTTGCAGCAACACAGTCACCCAATCAGCTCAGCACCCTCCAGGGCAATGCCCTTTGTCCCTCTCTGCACAAGACCTTCCCTTTCACCTTCTCATTTCTTTATTGCATCTCAGCCTGGTCACCTTTTTGCCCCCCAGCCAGGGAGGAGGGGTCAGGGCAGCAGGGGCAGCACCCACCCTCAGCCCAGGGTGCTGGAGCCAGCTCGTTCTGTCTTGCAGGAGCCGACATTTTCCTTTTTGTCTCCCTTGTTTCCTTGGTTTCAAGATTTTTCTTCCCCACTGAGCCCCTAATTAAAAAAAAACTGGAGGAATCTCAGATTTGGGGTGCTTGGAGTGGAGCTGCAGCTGCCCTTGCCTCCCTGCATGTGGGACCCAACAGTCTTGCCCTGGTTCCTTGGTTTTTGCCCCAAAGCTTTTAAATCCCCTCTTCCCCCTTTTCCAGAGCCACCCAGACTCCAAAGCCCACCAGATCCCCCTGCTCAGCATCGCCCAGCCCTGGTCCCCACCACGCTGGGGTGTGAGTCCTCCCCCTCCGCTGTCCCCGGCTTCCCTCTGTGTTTTCATTAGGATTTGGAGATAAGCTTTCAAATAAAGGCAGTGTTTTTAACCACTTTGCCTTATCAGCCGGCATCCAACAGCATTCCCCATCCACACAGCGAGGCTTGAAAGATGCTCTAAGGGAAAAAGGGACCTCAAACATCCCAACCTCTCCTTCTCCCAGCCCCACAGCCTGAATTGTGGCTCTGGAGGGCACCAGTGGCTTTGGGAAACTATTTCTGCCATTACTGGCCCCTGCTCGGGGAGAGCAGTGTCAGTGCATGAATACGACACAAGGACCAGTTTGGCACACCTGGATTTTATTCCTGGTTCTGCCGCTGGCCTGAGGATGACCTTTGGCAAGTTGTTTCCCTTCCCAGTGCCTGTGTTTCCACTTGCTCTCCCTCTCTCAGCCCAGCGACCCTCTGCCCGGCCAGATAACCCCCAGTTCAAGGAGACTCCACCTGAGTTCATATTACCCCCCCAAAAAGGGGTGCAAACAGCAGCAGCTCCGAGCATCAGTGGGTGTTACATCCCCCAAGTACTCACTCCCTCCAAGCCCCCTCCCTGCTGGGCCCTCCCGTGGCTCATTTTTCCAGCGTGTGTGCAAAGTCCTGAATATAGGAACCAGCTGCCAGCAGTTTCCAGCCCCCAAAAGCTGCCCTAGGGAAAATCAGCTCCTCACATGAACCTCACCACAGGGGTGTCCCCTGGGACAGGGCTGGAGATGGTCTTGCTCTACTCCTCTAAGTGTTGGGGATCATGTGAGGGGGAGGTGTCCTCCAAGGAGTAGCACAGGGGAGTAACACCAATGATGGCAACAAACTCGCCCCGCTAAGCATCCAGCTGCTTGGAGACAGCAAACCATCCCAAACACCCCAGACAAGCCCTATCATGGTTGCCCAAAGAGCCCCCACCTCGCAGAGGGTCCTCATTAGAGCTCAGCCCTGTTAGAGACCCATTACTGGCAGTGCAGGAGGATTTCTACCTGACTGGCACAGAGAGGAACCCAAATATAGGCTGTTCCTATTCCTCCCTGGCAGGATGTCAATGCACAGGAGGCAGAGGCTCCCGTGGGATGCAGGCAGGGGAGGCAGGAGGTGATGCCTCAGACCCTGGGTGCAGTGTCCCCCTCACACCACAGCCCTGCTGAGCTCCATCCCTGCACACCCCGTGGGGGGCACAGAGCCCTCCCCACCCTGGGGCAGGAGGGTGGTGGTGCAGCCTGGCAGCACCCAGCTACACAGCAAATCCAGCCCTAGGAGTGTCACGGGAACCTAGGATTAGGAATGGCATTAGATGTGGCCCATGTTAAATGCCCCCAGTGCAGAGGGGAGCCCAACAACCTCCACTGCAGGCCCCATTGCCAGAGCATGCGAAGAATCCCAATATCAAAGCACTTTGAGGGAATTGGATCTGGCCACAGCACTCAGCATGGTGGCTTTTGGGGGCAAATGTGTCATGCCGGGAGTTGCTGGGTCCTCTCACCTCCATCTTGAACTCGCTGCCTTCCATGAGTCAGAGCCTGTCTTGAGGATGAGGTTGTTTCCTGTCTTTTTCCCAAACAAGGTCCCCAACCACACTGAAAAACCTCGAGTCCACCAAGCCCTCTCTTGTGGACAGCAGAGATCTGGCAGATTGCATGGGGCTGGCGTTCTTCCTCCCTTCCAGCTGTTAAATCACATTATAGACAGTTAAAAATACATCACATACTTTCCTAATGTGACTTTTTCATGGTAGAGCAGCACTGAGATGCTGGAGTTGAAGGAGAGCTGCTCACTTGTGCCCATGGATGGCCAAGAGAGTGGCTCTGCCAGCATAGCCCCAAATTTGGGTCCCACAGAAGGGAATTACATGGCCCTGTGGCAGCTTTGGCCTTGGTAGGACCGACTCAATGGTCTCACTGCCTCTTGCCTCAGTTTCCCCACTTGTAAAAGCATTTATGGTCCATCCTCTGCAATGAGAGCTCACATGAATTAAACTTGACATTGTTTGTTGGGCTCTACAGAGAAAGGGCCTTTTGCACAGGGATCAGAGGTTAATAGAAGTCCAGGGTTGAGCTGGAAATGATCTGTTAATACATTAGGGCGGAAAAGCTCAATTCCTGAGTGTGACTGGAACTGGCCACATGGAAATACCAGCGGGATGTGGCCCGGCCGGAGCCCACAGTGGGCACAGGGCAGCGCTGGGGCAGCTGAGCTCAGCCTGAGGCAGCAGCATTGCTGTGAGCCATGTGTGAGCTGGGATCAATCTCCCCTTCCAGCAGCACAGCAAGCTCTGCTGTGGTCTGGGTGGAAAAAAGGCCCTTTGGTTTGCTAGAGCACTGGAAGGAGCAACCTGTGTCCCCAAAGATGGGTTCCCTTTCAGCTGGAGACACCCGTGGTGTGGGGAAGGCAAAGGGAGAGCAAAGGTGATTCCCTTTCATCCAGGTGCTGGCAAGATGGGTCCATCAGCCCCCTTCACCCTGCCCAGGCTGTATCCAACCAGACCACCCTGACAGAACCTTCTCAGCCTCTCACAGGACTGATGCCGTGGCCTCAGGTGGCAGAGAGGAGCCCAGCACCCCAAAACACCCCAAAACAGCCAGGGCACCCTGGACCCCAGCGAGGGGCTGGGATGGGGAGGAGGGCCTGCGAGAGGGAGAGGAAGGAGTTAAACCCCCAGCACTGCCAGCCCCCCTTCCTGCTTCTCTGCTAACTTTGGGAGGAAGGGAATAGCATAAAGGTAAGAGTGGAGGAAGGAGAGAGGAGACAGATGAGAGAAGGAGCGAGGGAGAGGGGGAGCGGGAGAGAGGAACAGACGGCAGAGAGGGAGAGCGTGGGGGGGAAGATGCTGACGCTTCTCCTCCATCTCTGCGAGAGGCAGATAGAGGGGAGCAAGGGGGGGAAAAAAAAGAAGGCAAAGACCAAGGGAACATGGGAGAGGGAGAAGGAAGGAGCCGGAGCGAGGGAGCATGTGTGAAAGTCGCAGTGAGAGAAGGGGCCTCTTTGATTCCCCGTGCCTCATACCAGACAGTGTCTAGACTGCAGCAATTATTGTCAGCTCAGAACACCCAGGCATTGCCATTTCAGCTGAAAGGAGGCTTAACAAAGAGCGAGGGAGAAAAAAAATACCCTGCCGGCGGTGAGCTGGGCTCCCTCCAGCACAAGGGGCTCTCCGGCGGGCCCTCCATCGCCCGCGCCCCCCGTGAGCCCCAGCCCCAGGTGCCCTCCCCCGGGGGGAGGTTGCTGTGGAGGCAGCCCCGGACTGTGAGCAACTCCCAACCCAGCCCTGGGTCTTTGGCTGGTTTTGGGATGGAGTTGCTGTTCAGCTCTCCCTTCAAGCTCAGGTTATGGGGCTCAGGGAATGGGGGACAGGGCTGGGGTGAAAGGGCCCCCTGGGGAGGTCAGGGGCAGCTCCCCAATGGGCAGCACTTGGCTGTGAGTGCCTGTGGAGCTGCTCCCCAGGCCAGCAGTAGACAGACACTTTGGCCTCATCACAGAACCTGGGGGATTCACAGGCCTCCTCTGAGCAGTGGGGATGTGAACCATAGAGCTGGGCATCTTCCCCCTGCTTGGACACCCCACTGCACCCTGTTCTGGCAGCTCCTCAGCTCCATTGGGTTTTAGGATATGATGGGAGGTCACTCGTGCAAAATCACAGGAATAAAAATCGTCCCTCTCTTCTGCTCCCTCCTGCCCCGCCACCACCACTGGAGGAGTTACCCTTTCCCCTCTCAAGCCATTTGACCTCTGAGGGGCTTTTGTGCCTTTGGAGGTCTAGGGTGTGGCTGAGACTCCCAGGCGGGAATTAACACCCAGAACTGGCTGTGAGTCAGGAATTCCTGCCTCTTGCTGGAAACACCCACCCCGTGCCCACCCCAGCCCTTTGGTGAGAGCCAGCTCCAAATACCTCAGAGGAGAAGAGGTGAGGAGGAGAGTTTTTGCGCCCTGTCTCCACCACATCTGTGGTTTTGGGGGTGGTGATGATCCCACCCAGCTGTCCGTGGGGCTGCCCTGCAGATGATCCCCTTTGGGAGCATCCGCAGCTCCAGGGCTGTGCCACCCATTTTCAAAATTTGGGTGCAAACAGCAGCATGGCCTAGTGACCTTCTCCACTGCTGGATGGCACTGAGGACCATCCCTGTGGGTGCTTACAGTCTGTCTGCTGGGAAAGGCGGCCGATCCCTCCAGATGCCGGAGCACAGCTCTGGTTTAATTAGCACTTTTAATGCTTGGAAAGGAGGCGCAAGGGAATACCCAGCAGGTTGGACATGTTTTCCTCACCAGCGATCCAGCTTGGCAACAGGGAAGCTCCCCAGCTTCTGCTTGCTTGGCTGGGATGGGGTGACATTGTCCTGGGGTCTAAAGCACGGCAAATACCTTTGGTGAGCCCCACTTGGGCCCCTCAGAGCAGGGACACCTCTGTCAAAAGGCATTTTTGTAGAAAACCCAAGCAGTCTGCACACTCTGCCAGTGTGGGCTGCGCTTTGAGCGGTGCCTGACCCAACGCTGCTACCCAACAGCTCAGCTGTTTGTCCTTGTCCCCTCTCTGCCTTTCAGGAACAACATCCATTTTCTGGCCAGGCCTGGTCATGTCTGCTGAATCAAGGACTTCTCCTCCCCTGGGTACACGGCACTGATGTTGCTGTGTGGATAAAATCAGCCTCTCTCAGGATCTGGCCGCTGTGGCAGAGCAGAGGAGACAACAGCACAAGTCCCACAACAGACCAGGAAGGCAAAACCTGCCTGGGGCAAGACTCATTCCCTCGTTACCTTGTCTGGCCATGGTGTGTCTGTGGACATGATGCCATTTCCCAGCGCGGGATTTCCCATGTGAGAATCAGAGGAGGAAAGGGCTGGCAACGCTTCTCCCATGGAGGACACTGAGCTTCCAACATGTGTGGGTGCTGAAGTGAAAGAAATACTTGATATGAGCAGTGGCAGGTCTTCCCCTTGTGAGCTTGGACAGAAAGTGTTTGACCTTCACAGGGAACTTTTGGGCAGCCCACCCTGACCCGGGGCTGGACCACAAGGAGCCCAGAGCTGTGACATGATCTGTGGTCTTAGGGAAGTGTTTCCCCGAAAACCTGCCAACTGCAGGGCTTCTAAACTATTGCCCCAGGGCTTTGTACCAGACTAGACACAGCCATACAATGCACCACAACTGCCACCAGAACTGCCACCAGGACTGCCACCAAGGCCTCTTTGAAGGTCTCTGATGTTGAACTCCCATTGAAGTGTGGTGAGGCAGTGCAAGAAAAAAGACCTTGCCTTCTTCTCCATGATACCTCCAGTGTCCCTCCTTCAGGCACCCTGACCTCTGTTCCTGAGCAATTTGGGGAGCCCCAACTCCCCACAGTGGCCCTGCAAGACCCAGCCCTGCAGAGACATGTGAAGTCCCACCAGCAGCTCCTGAAGCTGCCAATGTGTGCCTGTAGCCAGACCTTCCCCTTCGTGCCCTGCATCCCCTCAGCTCTGTGAAACGGCCACAGTCCCAAGCAGCAGGGAGAGGAGGGACCCGGGAAGCCACAACCGCTGGTGTACGTGCTGTGTGTGTGAGAGGGTGGGTGGGAAACCGGCCACATCCTGCTCCCAGCACCAGCCCGGGGGGCACCGCCATGCGCCGGGAGAGGCCGGAGGTGGCGATGGAAGTGAGGGCACAGGGTAGCCCGGGCTCTCTGGCCACAGCAGGGGCGCTGCCAGCCGGACCTGGCACCGCTCTGCATCCTGTCCTGTCCCGTCCTGTCCTCACCACCGCGCCAGGGCGGTGCGGGGGGGACTTGGGCAGCCCTAGCACCCCTGTGCCACACCAGGACCCTCGCTCGCCTTCCCGCTCTCCTCTCCCCTCTGCAAAGCTGTCTGCAAATGCCAACTGCCTGTTTTTCCAGTTCCTCCAGATTTACCCCCTCCTTCTCCTCCTCCCCAACTCCCCCCCCCTTCCTTCCTTTCTTCTTCCTGGGTTAAAAATAATCAAGTTTCTGGGAAGCAGCAGCCCTGCTGCGCCTGCCTCCCTGCACTCGCGCCCCGGAGAATAGCTCGGCTCGGCTCGCTCCGGCCCCTCCTCGCTGCTCTCTCCTTCCTCCTCCCCACCCCCTACAGGGATCTGACTAATATGCTTGGGCTCTGCTTGCCAGCTCAGCTGGAAAGGAATTTAACCATTGCCTGGCCTGGAGGGAAGGAGTGGAGAGCCCAGACCTCCCCCCATCACCCGGGACCCCCGGGCGGGGTTCCTGCCCGGCTCCCTTGGGCGCTTCCCAGAGGGTGATGGAGGAGGAGGGATGCACGGTGCCAGCACCCCACGGCGAGTGGTGGTCCCAGCCCCGAGCCCCACGCGGGTGCAATAACCCTCGTGGGTTCCCTCAGTGCTTTCCTGTAGGGGAAACGCAGCACCCCAGTGCCGTGGTCCCCGTGGCCTGGCTCGTGGGAGCTCCTCATCCAGCCACGGGTGCTCTCTGGGCACCCCCAACCCTGCCTGCAACTCACCACAGGCCTCAGCTCCGGGTGAGGGTGGGAGCTGGGGTCCCACTCTATGCTGCTTGGGGGTCACAGTGGGATCAGCAGCTCCAGACCCACAGTCCTGAGGTCTGCAGGGATTCGGGGATCCATGGTTCAGCCCTGCTGCAGTGCAGCTCTGGCAGGAGCCAGGACACAGCCTCTCCTTCAGCACAGGGGGATAGAAGTGGGAGCAAAGACAGTGTCACACCTGGGTAAAAACCACACGGGGGGGAAAAGCTCCTCTGAGGCTAAACCCTAATGCTAAAAAGCCAGAGTTTGTGCAGACCCCCTCCACTCTCCCCCCCTTGCCAGCCAGGCTCTGAGCACAAGCAGATTTCGCAGCACAGAAGGAGTGGGAGCCACGGCTCTGCTTTACAGCAGGACAAGCAAAGCACAAAGCCTTGACCAAGGTTATCCCAGGCAGACTGTGGCAGAGCTAAGAGCTGACCCCCCCCTTCCTCCCCAAGGCTCCAGCTCGCTGGTGTATTGCAGCATCTCCCTGCTCCGCCAAAAACTCCCCTTGAAATCTCCTGGCCAATGCAGAAGGACTTCAAGGCCAGAAATCCTAAGCTCAGCACCCCAGCGCTGAGCTGAGCCAAGAGGCACCGGCTCGGCCGGCGCTCACCCCCCGCGCTGGCTGGCTCAGCCCGGCGGCTCCGGGTGCCAGGGCACACACCGTCCCGCAGGAGGACACTGCCCTTCCCGGAGCCCGCTGCCGGGAGAGCTGCAGGCATGGCCCCTCCGGAGGTGGGGCTGAGAGCAGGAAAGAGCACTGGGCACAAGGCAGGGACCCGGCAAGCACAGGAAAGCTGCTGCCAGAGGATCACCCTTTAGCTGCTGGGACGCTCTGCAAAGCAGGGTCCGCTTATGACAGGGGAGCAGGGGGTGCGCGGGCAAAAGGGGTCTGAAACAGGAAGATGTCTTCTCTCCAAATCCTCCCTTAAATGGCAGTTCTGCTGTAAAATAGGGTAGGATGGAGCTCAGTGTTTGTTTTCTCTGCACGACCCGAGAGCGGCTCAGCCTGGGACTGCAGAGCCGGGCTGGGCTCCTCACTGACAGCCCTGCAGGAGCACGATCTGCAGCCCCGGCTCGGCTCTCCCAAACGCCCCTGCAGAGCTGTAGCTCGGTGCAGGGCTCAAGGCATGAGAGAGGAGGGGAATAAGCACCCAGCTCACTCCCACCTCAGCTTTCTGCCCCTGCTGCCAGGGTTTGAGGCAGCAGGATGGGTGCATGGGGGACCTGTAAGCCCTCGCTGCACACTGGGAGATGCTCAGCCAGAGCCCTTGTGGCCCCACAGCTGACAGTCAGGGCAGGAAGCAAGTGATGGCAGGACACAGGCAGGAGCCAGAGCAGGGCCAGGCTCTGACCATCCCTAGGTGAGCAAGGACACTGCTGTTTACTCTCCCATCCCAAATTCCCTGGTGCCTTGGGGGCTCCCCCCAGCCCTGCCTGCCCCAAGGGCCCTGCAGCAACCTCAGCAGCCAGGAAACGCTGGCAGGAGTGAGAGGGATTGAGAAACTGCAGGCAGCAGGATGAGACATGAGCCAGCACAAGCAGGATGTGACTCGGGGGTGACTGGGACTGCCGGAGGGGTGTCACCAGGAAGCGTCACCGGGGGCCCATCCTGTACCCTCCCTCTCACGTTCCTCAGGGCCGAGCCCCAGCCCAGCCTCTGCTCCCACACAAGGTCCCTCTCGTGTTTTACCACCTAAATCCTCTGTTAGCAGCACGGTGATATCTTCTCCCTCCATCCACCACAGGCTTTTGCACTGCCACCCTGCCTGGGGCTGTCGCCCAGGGCTGTCTGTTCCACCCGGGGCTGTCCCTGTCACCGCAGAGCCCCAGCCCTGTCACCCCATCTGCACGGCACACCTGATATTTCCCAACGTTTGCTCAGCACAGACTGGAAGGCAGCAGTGGGAGGTTTGGGGCGAAGGGGAGTTCAGACACTGACTAGACTTTCCCCTTGTCCTGCCTCAAACCAGCTGTTGTAGCGCTGCAGGAAAGGAGAAAGGAGAGGATGAAGGAGGAGAAGCAGAGAAGAAAAAAACCCAACAAACAAACCTAAAAAACAGGATAAATATTTTTTCCCCATTTAACACCCAAAGCTTTGTTTTTCCACCAGCCTCCCAGGCTGATCCCAAGGTGGCCCCTTCCATGGGTGTTGTCTTCCCTGCAGCTCTCCTCTCCTGGTCCCTCACCTGCCTGTCCCCTCTGCGTGCTGTGATCCCTGATGGGTTCTCCAGATCATACTCACATTTCACAGCTCCAGCATGGCTAAGGAAAGCCAACTGAGCTGCCATTCCTGCAAAATGACCTGCACCAACCCCAGGCACAAACTGTGGCACCCAACCTAATCGAACATGAGAAGGGACAAGCAAAAAACCTCCCCTCACACCACAAAATACATTAAAACCGTTAAAATCCGAGGACTCCAAAGGGCAAGACTAGACACAGACTCACTGGATTTGTGGCAGTTCACCCCAAATCCACCCCAGTCTCGGCTCACCCTGGTATGAGTGTGGAGGAGTTGGCATTGCGCTGGTGCCTTGAGCAAGGGGACCCATTTTACTCCCTCCAGCAAGGATCAGGGTCCAGCTGAGTTCCTGGGGATTCCTGGGGCCAGCCTGTGCTGCTGCAGGATGTGGGAATGCGGAAAGGGAATGCCCCCAGGGAGAGGGGCATTGCAGGGCAATGGCTCACACAAGTGTCACAAGAAGCCAGTACTCAGCAAAGGGCTTCAGCCGGGATAGTGCCCTTCCAGCCAAGGAGTCAGATCAATTCCCAACCCCTACCTGCACTTGGACTCACCAGCCATCCTTCCACACAGGGAATTATTTGCCTCAGATGAGGAAAAACAGAGCAACAGGAGATAGATCCAGCTGTCAAACCCAGCTGGATCAGCTGCTTCCTTGCCGTGGGGCAGGACAAGAGGGAGATATCAGCCTGCCATGGATCAGAGCCCAGGACACCCAACCCCTGGTAGATAAGGGCATCCCACATCCCTACAGAAAGACACCATGGAAAAGACCTTGTTGCACAAAGAGCTCCAACCCTGGTCCAGTGGGCAACAAAATCTCAAGGGCTCCAAGATGCTGCAGCTCTCCTTTTCCACCTCTGCCCCAGGCAGGGCTGCAAAGCACAAGGACATGCTCCCAGGGGAGAGAAAATTCCAAAGCCTAGGATGGAGAAATGGGAGTGCAGGAGTGCAGTTCAGCCTGAAGGCCATGACATCCTCCTGGGGCATCCCTCTGGACTCAGGAGGATGCAGGAGCAAACAACCACATCACATCAACCCCCTGAAACACACAGTCACTCTCTGGGTAACACAGTGTCTCCAAGGTGGGGTAAAACCTTTATCCTCCATCCTTGATCCAGGAGTGCTCCCGTTGCCTTTCCATGGCCAGCTCCA